GTCCACCGTCAGGGTAAACATTCATTTCTGCTCTATTATTCTATTAATTTCTATTTCAGTTCCCACATTATTCTCACGTCTCCACCTGCTGAAGTCAATACAAACAACAGCCAGCGGGCTATTGGTTTCACCTGTCACATTGTATTAATCCACCAGGAAAAAAGCAGGAAGTCATTGTGAGCTATTTGGATGCAACCCAGCCTCCTTCTCTCTTTATTTCTCCTTTTGTCTTGACCTCTGTTTTTCCCACGATTGTTCAGCCGCAGGAAACCCAGTCGTGTTTGAATATGAGGGAACCTGACCATCTGTAGACGATCACACACACACACACACACACACATCAAATTCACACGTACTCAGGCATATCCACCACAACAAAAGTGCTCTGATGTTTGATGTAAAACAGTTTTCACATGATGTTTGACTTTGTATTTGAAAATTAAATGACAAAACTACTAATACTAATATTATTACGTTACATCATTGGGTTTATGACATCATTAATACTAATGATTTCTTATAATCAGACCCACACACAGGCAGCACTGCCTGTAGTACACATCTTTGTGGTACACTAAAACTTGCTGGTGCACGGAGATGAAAAACATGCAGTGTGTATAGATCTTTTGGTAACTGGTGAGAAATAGTACAATGGGGGCAAAATACAACCAGGATATGAAAGAGGAGCGGGAAAAGATAGTTTAGAAAAGACTTGTTTCCTGGTTTATTTGTACTCAGCTGCTGACACATTTTCATTGTTTCGCTCGTGTCCTTCTGTGCACTAGATGAAAAATTACGGTATCTCACATTCATACAGTTACAGCTGTTCTTATGTGCTTTGTGACTGGACACCTACTTTTACTCCCAGCCTTAGTACATCGGTTGTGTGAAACATAAAGATAAGCAGTAGGAGACATGTTCAGGACAAAGAGTGGGCTGTAGATCTGTACATTTCTTGAACACTACTGTAAGTTCACTGTACTCATATGGCCTACATTGTGACTAGATCTCAATTCAGTATGGCACATCTGGATTGTAATGGAACGGGAGATTCATATCATGGATGTGCAGCCAACAAATCTGCAGCAAAATCTCTGGGGAATGTTTCCCAGCCCGTTGCTGGATCTGTGCCATGTAGAATTGAGGCAGTTCTAAAAGTAAATCCCAATACAATCAAGTGTCCAAAGAATGTATCCAAGCAGTTGTGTCCTGGTGACTATTCAAATTCATTTAGATACCACTGTGGGATAACTGCAAGTATCCAAAGGCATTTCAACATAGATGCAAAGCTGCAAGACCTTTTTCTAGAAAGACTTTTGTACGTTAACCAAACAATGTAAATAAAGTTTTATTAATGACCATAATAAGTCAAGCCTGTAACGTAACATTTGAACTTTTTCATTTTGATATTTCAAAATGTATTTGAAAAGTCAAACAAACACAGCTAGCATGCTAGAGCTTTGGTTTTCTAGCAGACATGCTAGTGAGCTATTGTAAACAAGCAGTTGAAGTTCTCTTCTTATGCTAACCGCTTTAACGCTGGTTTGAGCGCGAAGTCAAGGAGGCCATTTATGTGAAAAGGAAAAGACCATCTCTGAATCGAGGAGGGGCCTAAGGGTACATCTTTCGCCATCTTACAATGCTGTGATTGCAGCCATTCCCCAACTCTCTGTGAATGGGACTCATGGCCATTGATCAGTGGTCTTTGATCAGTGGGTTTTGGTCAGTGGTTGTTGATCAATGGTCATGAGAATTTGCATAATTATGATTAAGGAACCCCAAGGTTCTGGAGCACTAAAATACACAAACATAAAAAGACAAAAAAATGAAACCATCCTATAATGATGTCTCAATGTGGTATTTATTTCTTCCACACATACAAATAACTTAGCATCTTTATACCTGGTTATGTGTGAAGCTCGTTCAGGTCTTTGAAATCCTTCAGTGTGAATGATTTAGTTTATAAGTGCTCTGTGTTGATGAGTGGAGAGCTGCTCCACTGTTTGATTGTTTAAGCTGCTTGTCTTTCCTAAAATGAGCCACAGGAAGTCTTTCCTGTTTTGAATACACTATGGATAGAAGTGAATTGTGTGTATGTGTAGCGCATGTCGGTGTGTGTGTGTGTGTGTGTGTGTGTGTGAATGTGTGAGCGTTAAAATGTGTTAGGGGCGAGGAGGAAGCGGCGTATATAAAAAGGTACCAAAAAAGGTCTTCTTTAGGTTTGCAAACATAGAGGTATACACTGCGATCAAATAATAGGACACAGTAATCATGATTTACACCTCGAGATGCTCAAAATGCCACACAGTTAATTTGATCGCGGAGCCGACTTACTGTATTTTTCCTTTCTGTCTCTCTCACAACTCTCCTCCTCATCCTCTCTTCGTCTTCACTCCAGGAAACAGGACACAACAAACTTCCAGCTTCTGTTTCTCTCACTTCCAAGTGGAAGTAGAAATGTGGGAAGCACTTTTGTGTGCATTAAGGTACTGGAAGAATGAACCTCCTGACCCTCTCGTGCTCCCTTCTTTCTCATGTAGGAACTGCAAACTGTTTATATCATCAACATAAATCTTACCCTGCTCCCCCAAAAGGCTGACGCAAAAACATTCACACACATCCAATATTTATATCTGTCGCACACACGCTCACACACACGCACGTACATGTGACTCAGATACACCTGGCAGACAGATGGTGCATCTTACAAAACGCAGTTTCATTTTTCAAAAGAAATTGGCTGTGTCCATTCTCCGCATCAGTGGATTCAGATGGCGCACAGCTAAATGACAATGAATTAAATATGGTGATGCAAGCTGCCGGTTAATCAGATAATAACCATGCAACCCACCTACTGATTTTCTTTTTTTTTTTCTTTTTTGTTTAAACTCTGCAACCGAGAAACACCCTATTATAAACAGGATTCCCAGAAAACACTCGTGATTTTAAGCTCTGACACAACAGAAGTTATCATCTGCTAATTAAGACCAAAGACATTTGATTGAGGCTTGTTATTCCTATTACACCTTTCCTGTCCCTTTTCCGTGTGGGGTTTTGTGATAAAGTTCTATTGCCATCGTCCTTTCATCTCATTAGCTAGCTTGGCTCCAATTTTCTTTTTTTAGGAGTTTTCATGATTTGTATCTTACCCACTGGGAATAGGAGCTGAGGGTGGAACTAGCTGTGGTTGAGAGATTGTGTAAACCAGAAACTCACACTGTTTCACACAGGAAGACAGAAAAAAAGAAAGAAAAGTCACTTTCACAAAGTATTTTGTATATTTTATTACAAACATCTACAATAGTCAAAAGCACACACAAACACACACACACATAACAACATCAAACTATTTACAAAAGATACCCTCAAATGAGGGAGAAGATCAGTCATGAGCCAGCAGACTGCTTCTTACTTTCTCTTATATACATTTATACATATATACAATACACACACACATCAACAACAGATGCAAACACTAGCTGGAGTGTAAACTGGAGGATTCGGACTCTGTAGTTGTTGAGGTCCCGGGGCGTCTTCGTGGTAAAACCTTCAGACTGGATGCCCGGTTCAGAGTGAGAGCTCTGCGGGCCGAATTCTTGAACCCAGCTCCGAGGAAGGCGTACAGCAGTGGGTTCAGGCAACAGTGAGCGAACGCCATGGGCTCAGCCACCGACAGCCACACGCCTAAAGCAGCTTCCAGCCTGCAGCTGCGGGGCAGGACTTCCAACCGCAGCAGAGCGTCCACAGAAATGCCCGCTCCATAAGGGAGCCAACACACGAAGAAGCAGAGCACCAGCGCGATGGTAGTCCTGACCGCCCGTCGCTTCTGCCTCTGGCCCCCCAGTGAGCCACGGGTCAGCCTGGTGACAATGACGCAGTAACACACCAGGAGCACCAGTCCAGGGATCAACAGACCCACCAGGACGAGCTGGAGGTGGAAGACTGCAACCCAGAGAGGAGCATTTTCTTCTGGGTAGAATCTCTGGCACAGAGTTGACCCCTCTCCTCCTTCCTGAGTGCGGGCAAATATCAAATCTGGCACTGCCAGCAGGCCAGCGGGCAACCAGGCACCTGCAGGGAGGAGGAAGATTAAAAAAGACAAGTGAGGGACTGTGTGGAGAAAAGAAGACTAACAGCAGGAAGAGCAAGCCTTTTGATACTCACCTACATACACCAGTTTGTGAGCCAGCAGCTGCCTCAGCCCACTAGTGTTGGTGTCCGTGGCTCGGACCACCGCAAGGTAGCGGTCCAGGCTGATGAATGCCAGGATGAGCACGCTGCCGTACAGGTTGACTGTGTAGATGACATGCACTCCAATGCAGGTGGCAGCTCCGAAACGCCAGTCAGCCAAGGCTGCATCCACCGCCCAGAACGGCAGAGACAGAACGAAGAGGAGATCCGCAGCAGAGAGATGCAGGCGGTACCAGTCTGTGAGGCTGCATTTCGACCTGGAGACACAAAAAATCTGATCACTTTCATGCTCTTCCCCCACACCCAGCAATGCTTCGAAGTCAAAGCTTCAAACAGCAGTTACCCATCCCCTCACCTGCGTTGGCAGCCTAGGACTACGACAACCAAGCCGTTTCCAGTGATGCCCAGAATGAAGATAAGGGCATAAATGACAGGCAAGAAGACTTGCTGAAGCTCAGTAGTTGTCATGTGCTCCACACCACAGGGCTCCTCCAGATCCACTCCAAGTTCCCCAGAGCCAGAGCCAGAGCCGGTGTCATTGTAGTAATCCTCAAAGACGATATGCTAGAGACAGATGAGAAATGATGAGAAGAGAGAAGGCAATCATATATTTGTGAACACATTTAAAGTTTCTGTGCATGATTAGATGACACCTCCCTACCTCATAGTAGGACATGGTGGAGACAGCTGCACTCCTTCGTTGAGTGAAGCTGAGATTTCTGTCCACAGAGGTTAAATAGCTGTTTACATGCTCCTCCCCCCACACTCCAACACATCTGTGTTCCTGCTGAAACGTTTTTCCTGTTTTCGAGGTGTCAGGTGCTGATATCTATCACAGGATACCGCAGTGTGTGCGCGCACTGTGAATTGTTTTAGCCCTGAGACCTCTGGTTTGTGATAATCAGGTCCTATTGGCCATAGGAAAGGATGTTGATGAGAATCGGACAATAAATAACATGTCAGTGTTTGTGTGTCTGCGTGCAACAGTAACACTCTAAGCTCCATTCTTAGTTAAATCAGGGCAAGCAGCAGGAGTGTCTCCGCAGACTGTGAATATACTTGTCCTGTTTGCATCACTGTCTCATATAATGCATGCAAGGAGCGTGCACACTGAGGGCCGATTGATTCAGAAGATGACTATCGTGGCTTTTCAGCCAAGTTCACCAGACAGTCTGCCTCTGATCTTTGAATGTCAATGAAGCGAGAGGTGCGATGCCAGTGTGTCACTTTCCTGAGAACAAAATCAACACATTCTTGTTATTTCAACACTGATGCTTCCAGGAACACATCCCTCTGGAGTCTCTACTATAAACAGCCATTATTTTAATTTTTTATTTTAAGGTATTTAGTTTGTTTTGTTTGTTTGAATCCACAAGAAAAGAGAAAGAAAATACAGAATTAAAGCAAACTCACAATCAGAATGTGTTAATGCTTTAAAACACTTTCAATCAGCCCCGTATAGCTCCTTGGAAGGGGAAGCTGTCAAACAGGTTAACTCACTGATGATATCCAGGGGGTCAAAAAAGTATTTAGTCAGCCACCGATTGTGCAAGTTCCCCCACTTAAAATGATGACAGAGGTCAGTAATTTGCACCAGAGGTACACTTCAACTGTGAGAGACAGAATGTGAAAAAAAAATCCATGAATCCACATGGTAGGATTTGTAAAGAATTTATTCGTAAATCAGGGTGGAAAATAAGTATTTGGTCAATAACAAAAATACAACTCAATACTTTGTAACATAACCTTTGTTGGCAATAACAGAGGTCAAACGTTTACTATAGGTCTTTACCAGGTTTGCACACACAGTAGCTGGTATTTTGGCCCATTCCTCCATGCAGATCTTCTCGAGAGCAGTGATGTTTTGGGGCTGTCGCCGAGCAACACGGACTTTCAACTCCCGCCACAGATTTTCTATGGGGTTGAGGTCTGGAGACTGGCTAGGCCACTCCAGGACTTTCAAATGCTTCTTACGGAGCCACTCCTTTGTTGCCCGGGCGGTGTGTTTTGGATCATTGTCATGTTGGAAGACCCAGCCTCGTTTCATCTTCAAAGTTCTCACTGATGGAAGGAGGTTTTGGCTCAAAATCTCACGATACATGGCCCCATTCATTCTGTCCTTAACACGGATCAGTCGTCCTGTCCCCTTGGCAGAAAAACAGCCCCATAGCATGATGTTTCCACCCCCATGCTTCACAGTAGGTATGGTGTTCTTGGGATGCAACTCAGTATTCTTCTTCCTCCAAACACGACGAGTTGAGTTTATACCAAAAAGTTCTACTTTGGTTTCATCTGACCACATGACATCTCCCAATCCTCTGCTGTATCATCCATGTGCTCTCTGGCAAACTTCAGACGGGCCTGGACATGCACTGGCTTCAGCAGCGGAACACGTCTGGCACTGCGGGATTTGATTCCCTGCCGTTGTAGTGTGTTACTGATGGTGACCTTTGTTACTTTGGTCCCAGCTCTCTGCAGGTCATTCACCAGGTCCCCCCGTGTGGTTCTGGGATCTTTGCTCACCGTTCTCATGATCATTTTGACCCCACGGGATGAGATCTTGCGTGGAGCCCCAGATCGAGGGAGATTATCAGTGGTCTTGTATGTCTTCCATTTTCTGATGATTGCTCCCACAGTTGATTTTTTCACACCAAGCTGCTTGCCTATTGTAGATTCACTCTTCCCAGTCTGGTGCAGGTCTACAATACTTTTCCTGGTGTCCTTCGAAAGCTCTTTGGTCTTGGCCATGGCGGAGTTTGGAGTCTGACTGTTTGAGGCTGTGGACAGGTGTCTTTTATACAGATGATGAGTTCAAACAGGTGCCATTCATACAGGTAACGAGTGGGGGACAGAAAAGCTTCTTACAGAAGACGTTACAGGTCTGTGAGAGCCAGAGATTTTCCTTGTTTGAGGTGACCAAATACTTATTTTCCACCCTAATTTACGAATAAATTCTTTACAAATCCTACCATGTGGATTCATGGATTTTTTTTTCACATTCTGTCTCTCACAGTTGAAGTGTACCTCTGGTGCAAATTACTGACCTCTGTCATCATTTTAGTAGGGGGAACTTGCACAATCGGTGGCTGACTAAATACTTTTTTGCCCCACTGTAGTTGCTAAACCGAGTAGGACTATTCCAGTTTTTAGAAAGTATGCAATATTTACAAAGTATTAGAGTCTTTTGATGATGGCTTGATTACTGCATAGTTATTTGGTCTGCTGCTTCAGGAAAGACCTGGTTATGCTCCAGCTCAGTCAGAACGGAGCTGTGTGGATGGTGCGGGTTGCCGGCATGCCAGGCTGTCATGGATGCAGGTGGAGGACAGGCTGGCATGTAATCTTGTCTTTAATATAAGGAACATTTGTGTACTGAGAAGGCCTAAATACTTATATTCACAGTTAACATGAGAGGCTGTGTCACACATGCTTTCATGGGACGTTTTGCTTATCTTTGCCTAAAATAAACGTGTTAAAGAAAACCAGCATTTTAGCAGGTTATGTCACTTCCCATCTTTATTCAGTATTTAAGTAAGTATTTAAAGAAGTATTTTTATAATTTAAAAGCAATTAGAAACAGCAGCTTTAAGGAAGGAAATACTTTTGGGCTATATTTGCTTATTTATCTGTGATGACTGATGATGATTGTATAATGCTGGCTTTGTTGTCCCTGCATTCATTAACTGACTGTCGGTAATAGTTTGTTAATTGTTTTTTTGTTTAAATGCTTGTTGTACAACCTTTTGATTGTTCATGCAGTTAAAACACTCATCCTTTCCTATATTAATAATATTATTACTGCATGATCAGACTTGACGCTTTAAAACCATTACAGAACCACAGAAAAGGCCTTGTTGCAGTCATCACTGTTTTGTTGTATAGAAGCACATTTTATTAAATACATGAATATCTAATTTATAACATTTTATACAATGTGGCTCCTCCAGCATTGAGTTTATCAGAGTAAACAGAAAAGAGGAAGAAGAAGAATCTTTTTTTCTTTGAAGGCAACAGTGGTGCTCTAGAACCATTATTATCAGAGAGCAGAACACATACAACACTTTAAATGTCTATTTAAAAAATGGTTGATAATCTAATAATACACAATGAGATGCTTTTACCCTCCTGCTTGTTTGTTTTCATCTTTATGTTGATAATGTGAAATGTTTTTAGGTTGCCTTTAAAAATCTGACCTGGGACTATGGATGAAAGTCAGCCCGTGACTAACTCCAGTGCATTCACAGTAATATATATTTTCATTCACACATTTTCATCGTGTTGTTTCCTTCGGTTTATTTGTCAGTTGTCTGGACTTTCACAGGGAAGAATAGCTGTGGCTGTGGATCGAAGTAAAAAATATTGTACCTCAAAGATCTAATTAGTACATTCATGGTAGCTTTTTAAAATAGTTTATTAATGACTCACCTCAATATCTCTTAACTACTGAGAAGGCACATTTCCTGACGTGCTGACAAGCCCCCAGCAGCTCTGACTGCTCTCCCAATACATTAATCCTCTGAGTAAACAGTAAGGCTACCCCAACATAAACAGACTAAAAGAAATCTGTTAAAACTGTGAAGACTGCATACCCTGGTCCCTTATCTGCCTCTTACTTCCCCACCCTTCCTCTGCCAACCATTCACTGTATCAGCACAAACATCTAAAAAAAACAACACTGTTGTTCAAAACTCTTCCTTTTTAAAGTGCTGACGGATGTAAGAAGTTTTAGTTTTGCTTAATCTTTATAATACTTACTTCCCCCCCTCCCCTTGAGCCTTAAATCAATCAATCAATAAATAAAGATGGTTAGTTTTATATCTACACGCCAACATAAAATAAAATGTGCAGGAAATCTCTTTAGATTCAGGCTATGTCCACACGTACCCGGGTATTTTTGAAAACGCGGATTTTTCTATGCGTTTGCACCTTTCGTCCACACGTAAACGACGTTTTTGGTCACTGAAAACGAAGATTTTTAAAAACTCCGGCCAGGGTGGATATTTTTGAAAACTCCGTTTTTGCATTTAGGTGTGGACAAAAAAAAACGGAGAACACAGCGTCAAATGTGTGCGCATTTTTTGACGTCACACTGTGCGCCACATTATTGTTTCGGTGAAATGAATTTCTACAATACTGTTACTGTTAATTGTACTCTCTGCAGTGTTTAAATGCTTACATATACACACACAGCTACTGTCCCTCCACACAGACGACTCGGTTCTGCTTCTATGCCCCAGCTTTGTTTACTATTTCCCACCGAGGCTTCTAGACTTCTGATTGGCCAACATTTCTGCATGTTAGGAATCTAGCGCCACCTGTTGCTTTGGCATGACCTGGTTGCAGCAGGATGATTAAGTTAGTTTAAATGAATCAACACCCCCGAGTCATTCTAACTACCAGAAACCTCGAAGCCCAGGCCAGCCTGAAGTGTTTTTTATTTATTTATTTTTGTAATGTAATAAAACATTGTCAGACCCTACATAGTGTAATAATTAAAAAGAAAGTTGAGATAAACCACCACTAAAACTAATACAAAGTTAAATGAAACAAGCATTTAACTGAGGTCCCTGTTGCCTGAAAAATTATCTTTTGATTAGTTCCAAAACTTAACAAAATAAAAATAAATGCAGATCTACGGTATGATATGACTCGTTGGCACTTCTGCTCATAGCAACAGGTGGCTGCACTGACCTGCAGTAACTGCGACTGTGATCCTGCAGTGTAAACACTTGAACAGCTGATGATTCACACAGGTGAAAATGATGGTATCAGGTTAAAGTTGCTTTACTCTGAGCTGCAGGACCGACCCTGCTTATTGTGCATGCCGGCTCTCTGGGATGCTTCATGATCATTAATGTTATTGATTACACCTGTACCTGTCCTGCTGTGCAGAGTGAGACTGGCCCAAGCGAGTCCAGTGCAAACCGCTTGTATTTATGTCACATACCACATTACCCATGCTCCCCATGAGCTCTAACCCTGTATCTATGTGCTTTTTGTACATTTGTGTTTATTTTGTTTTACTACACACAGAGCTGTAGAGTCAGTCTGTGAGTGCTGGTTATGTGGCGCCACCATGTGGGCTGTTAGAATAAGCGTCTGCAAACAGCCTGCTACGTGGGCTCCATCTCCACTGCGTTGAGAAAAAGAATGGATGGATTTACCTTTCTTCCCTAAAGTAATTGGGACTTCAGTCTGTCCGAGTTTGTCACACATTCCCAAATAAATCAAACGCACACCTAACTTTCCATCATACCTGTGTACACCACTATCATACACCTCATCTCCACCGCCTTATTACACACCTTCAAACGGAAGTGCCTCTGTTTCAGATCCAGCACTCTTTTGAGGGTTAGGGTTTCTCTCAGAAAGGCTGTTTGGTTTGAAAGTGCATCTTGAGCCTGCCTGGCAACATTTTACCATAAGACAACTTCAAGTGACTGATGATGGACGGAGGCCATTCACATTCCCAAAGCCAAAAGACAGGTAGGCCTGGTGATATCCTGTTTAGACAGTGGGTTGCCTGCATTGGCAATTAATTGTGTATCTCCCTCTTATAAGCTCTGATGCATCAACCTCTCAATTTTTGCAATGGTGCAGATGGGTTTCCTTTAATGTAAGTTTGTAGTTTGTACAAAGTACAAACACAGTGAGTCAACATGACAGCATTTAGGAATAACTAGTATACACCATGGCATATAAAATAATATTTATAGCTCACTGATTTTCTTTTTTGACTGTTTTGTTTTGTAGGATTAGGAAAGATATAGTTTCAAATATTTTGCCACCTTTTTTTGTCTTTGGATGCATTTGTGAAAAAATAATGTCCAACAACAGCCCACTCAGACACTGAAGCTGTGAAATCCCTCTCTCCTCCCATTATCACCTAGTTGTGGACACCACACTTGGGAGTGAGGACTGATATCTTCACATTATATAACGAGTCAAAGCTCTGATGCTGTGCAACTTTAACATCCCTGAAATGCAGCTCACTGAAGAAGCTGGAGCGCTAGCAGGAAGTGGTGTACATGCTGTGGACACTATGAACAGTGACCATCTTGCTGCAAACGCAAATGAAAATAAGCAAGTGTTTGCATACAGGTGAAAGGTACTTGATTTTGTGAAGAGCTGTAAATGCACGAGTGTTTTTGAATGCGAGTGAGTGAACTTATGTCGGTATTTTTAAAAAAAAAAAGGCATGCCATGAGATCAACATAAACATTTATTCACAGCTGTCCAGTTGTAAGGAACATTAAATAAATATTATTATTATTAATTTTAAAGGATCACAAACAAAACATGCACAGAACTGCGACGGCACTTTGTCAAGTAACTCTAGGCATAGGCCACCGAATAGGTAACAATACTGAAGACCAGCAGAACATCACGACTAAAAGCGATTAGCACTCGAATCCTGCCTCCTCACTAGTGTGTTTCTCTTACAATCATGCTGCTCTTGCTCCGTAGCTCAGCCAGCAAGTTTCTGAATCTACCCGTCTGCTTTGGTGTTCTCTTGCTTGGTGTGGTGGCTTCCTGTGTCACAGACGAGGGAATCGCCTCAGCAATCACACCTCTGTTCCCCTGACTGCTGCTTTTTCGGCGGCTGTTTGGCTCTACACAGGTCATCTTGATGGGAGTGTTGGTGTGGAGACGCTGCTGCTTAGCGACACGAGTACCCTGCGAACCGTCTCTCTGTCTCTTCCTCCTGTTCTTATTCTTCTTCCTCTCCTTTTTCGCTTTCACACATCGTCTGAGGTTCCTAAGCCCAAAAACACAGCACATACAAGTCATTTTAGATGAGAACAGCTACAGTCATAAGAAATTCATGCAGGCAAACACATTACCTGTGGAGGAAAGTGTGCGGCCTTGAACAGGCGGCAGATTCTTCCACACGCTGCTCACTTTGTTTTTCACAGGCCTTCTTTATCTTCTTTATGTGGCTCAAAAGCTTCCTGACAGAGCAGACAGGCAGCAGTACAATCAGCTTAAATATGATGGTAATTTGTCAAACACACACATACATACAGTGTACACTCAGCCTTACCCTCTTGCATCAGGCCACCTTTGGGATGTCCGCTTTTTGATAAGGACCCACTGGTCACATGTCGGGGACATAGGATCTAAACAAGAATCAAAATCAAAGTGTTACAGAACTGTGCTTACCTGTTTGTTGTTAATATAGATGCAAAAGAGGACGGCTATTAATTTGGTACTGTAAGTTAAACCATATGTAAGCATTTCATCCACTTCATGCAACAAACAATACATAATTGTATACTGGTTACTGAAATGTGTAGTTATACTTTTAGATTTCTTTTTATGCAGGGCTAATAAAAGCAGTGCAAGTGTGCTATAGAAAAATATTTCTCAAGTATTATTAACAATTGTTCATCTTTCCTTTGGAAGAGTAGCTATAGCATGAACTTCTTCCCAAAGACATTATATTTTCATGCTGCCATTAGTGTGCTCACCATTGTCCAGCAGTTTGTTTATGATTGATGTTTTTATCTTCTTTGCTTTCTGGTAGAGCTTCTGACAGGCCAAGCACAGGTTCTGGGAAGGCCTCGCTTTTCTGTAGGTGGAGTGATAAAAAGAGGGACCAGACGCTGTGCTGCTGCAAACAGAGACTCGGTCTTCATCCAAGTCGTCCAGTTCTTTATGAGCTATCTCTACCGCCTTTCCCCCATCTTCTTCACCAACATGCTTCTCTTCCTGAGTGGTAATGATGTCGAGGATGTCGCACCCTGTTCCCTCACCTGCGATACAGAGGCTGTCACCAGTACTGCCTTTCCCCCTCCGCCTTCGACCTCTCAGCTGACGCTGGATAACTTCTTCCTCTGGAGCGGGGCTTGTCTTGGTGTTCTTCTTGGAGGCCCTAGGCTGTCTGTTGGAGCGTTGGGGACACATGGATCCTTTCCACTTCACACAATATCTTATAGACCTGCTAACAAGAGCAACAGTGACTCCTCCTGCAATATTTTACAAATAAATTGAGTCTAGATGAAAATATTTCTTATCGTCTTACCTGTAATATTCTACCTTGAAAAACAGTAAATGAGTGAAGGAGCCTAAGTCATCTGCATTGAAACTGCAAAATCAAAAACAGCACATCACTTTGACAGGATTGACAACAAAATGGCATGTGCATTTGTCCAATGCCACGACCTTTGAACTTGATGAAAGGACATGTTTTAAGTTCATATACTAATCTCCTTAAAACTGCACTTTGTCTTTACATTTATGTTGAAATGATTTCACCTTTCATACAGGTTTACTGTGTCAGGCATATATATAGGCACACATTTAATGTAATCTGGAAATAAAACCACCAGTTATGACTCAGGTTCACTGTGCTCTGCCTGTGGCTGGAAACCAATGTCTGAAAACACCCAGCTACAAAATCTGCATTGAAACTCAGGCGATGCTTAGCTAACGTTAGCATCCCGGCTAAGCTAACTGGGCTCAAAACTAAAGCTCACACAGAGGGCGGATGGACATCACTGAAAGCACCGGGCATTGAAGCCAGGACATGACTTACTTCATCTCTGCTCCTTCGCGGTTAACGCACTCTAACGTGTAAAACTTTTATTAATTTAATTATGACTGAAGCTGAAACACGGCGCCGTGCTTACTTGTTCACATTCTGGCTCGTGCCTTGGTGAGCTCGCGGACGTGAGCCTGTTTGTAGATGCGCTCGAGGACAAATCACTTCAAGATGCGCGAGGATAGAACAAAATTCCCTGTCCCATGATCCTCAAAGCTCCTAGTAGCTCTCTCTGGTTTTCTTCTCCTTCTGTTTGTTCGTTTGGGGCTGGGGGAATGTCGCGTTACTGCCGCCAACTGGACAAGTTTCAGAAACCATTTTTCCTACCTAAAATGAACTGCCTTCAAATAAAAACGGTTAAAGTTCAGGTTTTGACTCTATATGTATGCTGACTATTGCGAGCTTTAATAATGTATTAATTTGAAGTGAAATTGCGAGCAGAAATATTAACACTGGAGGTTATATAATGTAATACCAGTCATCAAATATGTTACAGATTAAATTATGTGCCAAACATGACTCTTAACCAGTAATGTAAATGATTCATCTAAACATTTTGCAATGTAATTGGATTTCACCACAGGTGCATCTGTGGACAAATGTACAATGGTGGCTGACCACCCTGCACATTCTCCAAAAAGTTGATTCTGTTCATCTGGACGCAGCGTTTTGTGGTAGAAACGTTTCGTCACTCATCCAAGTGACTTCTTCAGTCTCAGCTGACTGCAGGTTTCCCCAATCTTATAAACAGTACATTTGCATAATGACTGAAACCAGCCCACTGAGGAACAATGGGCTGAGAGGTCAGTTCCTTAATCTTAATTATGCAAATTCTCATGACCATTGATCAACAACCACTGACCAAAACCCGTCGTACGACGTTACATCTCTCTTCACTTGCATCCCAGTCATGGAAGCGTTGGAGGTAGTCCGTAAGAGATTACAGGATGACACCAACCTCAGCAACAGGACCACTCTCAGCATCGACCAAGTGTGTTTGCTTTTGGAACTGTGTCTTCATTCCACCTACTTCACATACAAGGGTCAGTTCTACAGGCAGAAACATGGGTGTGCCATGGGCTCCCCATTGTCACCCATCGTGGCCAATTTGTACATGGAAGAAGTGGAAAAGGGGGCTTTGCTATCCTACCCTGGAACACCACCAAGCCATTGGTTCAGATATGTGGATGACACCTGGGTGAAAATCAAATCTCAGGACGTACCACAATTCACGGATCACATTAACTCGGTGGACCGACACATCAAATTCACCAGGGAGGATATGAAAAGTGGCAGGTTAGCCTTCTTAGGCTGTGAGATTTCCATCAGGAATGGGGGACATATAAAAGCTGACGTGTAACGTAAACCTACACATACGGATCAGTATTTAAGGTTTGACTCTCATCATCCACTGGAGCACAAACTGGGTGTCATTAGGACACTACAACACAGAGCGAACACCATCCCCACAGACACAGCGGCCAGGGAGGCAGAAGAACAGCACATCAAGAAGGCCCTGAGTAAATGTGGTTATCCAGCTGGACTTTTGTCAAAGCTGGAAAGAAAGACAGAAAGCTCCAGCCGATCCAGGAGAGAAGGACAACCGCAACCCAAGCAAAAACCTGTAGTGATCCCATATGTGTCAGGAGTATCGGAGCAGTTGAGACACATTTTTTCTAAACACCGGGTCTCTGTGGCTTTTAAACCCCAAAACACGCTGTGCCAAAAACTGGTCCACCCCAAGGATCGGGTCCCCCGACACAAACAGAGTAACATAGTGTACGCTGTTAAGTGCCAGGCGGATTGCCTGGATTTGTACATCGGGGAAACCAAACAACCTCTGGCGAAGCGGATGGCACAACACAGAAGAGCTACCTCGTCAGGCCAGGACTCTGCAGTCTATTTACACCTACAGGCCAGTGGACACTCTTTCAATGATGAGGATGTACAGGGAGGAACGCTGGTTTGAGCGCGGAGTCAAGGAGGCCATTTATGTGAAAAGGGAAAGACCATCTCTGAATCGAGGAGGGGGCCTAAGGGTACATCTTTCGCCATCTTACAATGCTGTGATTGCAGCCATTCCCCAACTCTCTGTGAATGGGACTCATGGCCATTAATCAGTGGTCTTTGATCAGTGGGTGTTGGTCAGTGGTTGTTGATCAATGGTCATGAGAATTTGCATAATTAAGATTAAGGAACTGACCTCTCAGCCCATTGTTCCTCAGTGGGCTGGTTTCAGTCACTATGCAAATGTACTGTTTATAAGATTGGGGAGACCTGCAGTCAGCTGAGACTGAAAAAGTCACTTAGATGAGTGACGAAACGTTTCTCCCACAAAACGCTACGTCCAGATGAACAGAATCAACTTTTTGGAGATTTACTTCACTGGATGAATGAGGATGCATCAAGACACCCTGCACATTGTTTAATAGCCTTGAATGACACTACTTCAAAAACTATGTAGGTCTCTTTAGAGCACAGAAAAAAGACCTAATGACCTATTTGGCTTCCACAATGATACAAGCACAAGGAGATATTCAATGTGAAAGGGAAATGATGAAGTGAAAAATTTACCATACCAATATCTTGAGATCAGATATGCCTGCTCCAAATTTCCCATGATCTGAGAGGACATTAATAACACGCACAACTGAAATGGGAGCTATGCCTTGTTATGTACATAATTTATTTGAGGTCAACTATCCTTGTCCTCCAGCTGTAGTTAAATCTACCCTGTTTTACGAGGTCTGTCTTTACAACAGCATCCCCCTTCTAGGAAGGAGTGGGGACACTGGTGTTATCCAACCTGAAAGATGTTGCGCTCAGCTGCCATTACCACAAAGGAAGACTAGTAATATTGTTGCAACCAAATACCATGAAATGTTAATTACATTTAGAGAATTATGGTACCACATTTGTGTTTGTTTATATAGATATTTGGCTGTTCGGGCTGAATGATTATGTAACCTACTCAGTGCTGGTTTGATTAGTTGATACTGTGCATAGGCTGAATTATTAGAAAGTTGGCCTGAAATGGAAAGGAGATACATTGGAATTCACCAATGCGGCAAGGGAAAAATGCAGCAAGATTAAAGTGGCACAGGCATTGATTCATTTATGTGTGATTTGATGCGGAAAACTTCTAAGTAGGATTGTGACTTTTACTTAAATAAAGGGTCTAAATACTTGTTGGAAAACAGTAATTCGGTGTAAAGCAGGGTTTGAACACTTGTGCAATGTGACTTTTCATTTTTTAAATTAATTAATCCTGTGTCTTCTTTGCAATGTTCAGTGTGCAAATGTGCAGGTTGGCTCTAGAGAGGGAAGGAAAAAACTTCTGTTGAGATATAAACACTAAAAACATAAAGATAATGCTGACCTTTGACACATTAAAGCCTCGCACATCCTCTGTAATGATTCCTTTAGCAGGGTTATTACATCCATGGTCCGCTTACCTATTCCCAACAGAGACAGGAAGGACTTTGAACACACACAAATGCAATCTGCTAATTCAATGAGGAATTCAAACAATGTATTCAGACGTGCTCCAACTTTATCTGTGTTCGATTCAGTTAGCGGTTGGTACACTGACGAGAGAACAATGAGGACAGCAGGATCGTTTGTGTTTTTGCTGTTCATCTTGGCTAGGGAAATAAGCGGTGTTCCCAACAATACGAAGGGATCTGTATCAGAAAAGTCCAGTCCAGAGGCCAAGGTGAAGACAGCAGAAGCTGAAGCTACTCAGGCCAAGCCTGCAAGTTTTTCACAGTTTTTAGGCAAACTGCTCGTGGTGCCCATGGATGGGAGTCATTGGATAGGTCTTAATGCCATTGCCCAGGAAATGGGTCGCCGTGGACACAGAGTTACGGTGGTGATGCCAGAGACCACCATACGAATGGGCCCGGGGAAACATTATGAGACTTTGACCTATCCTGTACCTTATGACAAGGCTTACATCGACTCTGTGACGTCCACACATCATGAAAAAAAATCTGCATATCCTCTCATGGGGAAGATCAAGAAACTCAAACAGTTCTGGATCATTTCAGATTTACTGCACATCAGTGCAGACAAGCTCCTCTTCAATGCCAGTCTGATCTCCCACCTGGCCCAGCAGGTGAGTGCCGATTCAGTCACTCTCATCTCAACAGTCTATACAACCACTGAAAAAACGAGAAATAACAGTACATCATTGCACTAAGAACTGAAGGTCAGTCAGTCTGAAAAACTGCTAAAACAGCATGCATGGGGGCACGGGTTTTTGGAAGGGACCTGCTGACACCAGCTCTTATCTGGCAGAGGGTCATTGGCGCCATGCCCCTCCTCTGTTTTAAATGCACTTTAGAACAGGAGAATAACCTTGCCCTCCAGCCTTGGTTCTAGCAGTCCTTAACCAGGTCACCATATTTTTCCTTTTCCTTTTGTAAGTCTCCTCCATATGCTTTTCCCAGAGTACTGTAAGCTTCCACATTCTAAGGTTCTTTGTAACTTCTGACACCAGCACAATTTCAGGTCTTGTGGTGGTTTTGAATATTAAAGGAAGTTTTTCCTTCCCACTCTTGTCAAGTGTTTGCTCAAAGGGGGATCATCCCAAATCCCTCACATATTCCTTGCCCCACAGCCCATTTTGAAAAGTCCTTAAAGACGTTGACGTTGTAATTGTTTAGGAACACCTTCAGTAGTCCAAAACTTCAGGAGTACAAAAGCATTTGCTGTTTCTAACTATCTTATATACTATTATTATACATAATATATAATGTATGTATTAGATATAATCCATCTTGAGTTCTTGCCTATAAATTGGGAAAAGAACCTGTGCTGGACACAGCTGCCTGAGTTGGAACACATGTTTCTCTTTCACTGGTAGAAACACTTCGTCACTCGTCCAGATGAACTGACCTCACAGTCCAGTGTTCAGTTAGTCAGCTGGTTTCCGTCATTGTGCAAATGTCCTGTTTATAAGGATGAAACCTGCAGTCAGCTGAGGCTGAAGAAGTCAGCTGATGATGATGAAACGTTTCTCCCACTGAAAACATCCAGATGAACAGAATCAACCTTTTCATGTTTCCTGGATGACTGAGCCTGCATCAAGACAATCTTCTCTATAAGCTCATGCTCTCCTGAACACCAGAGCCACACAGTCAGCTGTCTGTACTGTCTTTTAGTTCTTAACATCTTGTTTTTTCTTTGTTATCTGCTAAATCAATCACAGGTTTGTCCATTAAAAGAACACACATACCTGTGCAGTTTGCAGGTAAAACAGACCGAATGTGTTTGTCTTCCTCACAA